ATATTCGTATTAGAGTAGGGTTTCGAGACTACCAGTAAATCAGTGTAATGAGATGTATTCACCCAATTTCATCTAAAGTGATGAAGGACTGGTAGTAGAATTTTCTCACAATGATATGAGTTGAGTTGACGTTTTTCATTGAATTTCACATAGCCTTGCTTTCCCAAAAGTTGTTATCATCCTGGGTTAACCTGCAGTTTCGACCTCGCATTGGTCTTATCAACACCCTCAGCGGGATTCGAACAGCGACAGTGCAGGACGGTAGCTTGACACGCTAACCACTCGGCTACACTGCCACGAGTACCCTTGAGTCACAGGGTATAAGTGAGGGCACCAGTGGACTGCAGTTTCGACCTCGCATTGGTCTTATCAACACCCTCAGCGGGATTCGAACCGGGACGCTGGGTGGACTGCAGTTTCGACCTCGCATTGGTCTTATCAACACCCTCAGCGGGATCTGAACCGCGAATCTCATCCAGGCAGCAGTGGACTGCAGTTTCGACCTCGCATTGGTCTTATCAACACCCTCAGCGGGATTCGAACCGCGACAGTGGAGGAGGACTGAAGTTTCGACCTCGCATTGGTCTTATCAACACCCTCAGCGGGATTCGAACCGCGACAGTGCAGGACGCGATATGAGTTGAGCTGACGTTTCCATTAAATTTCACATAGCCTTGCTTTCCCAAAAGTTGTTCTCTTCCAGACAGAAGCGGACTGCAGTTTCGACCTCGCATCTGTCTTATCAACACCCTCAGCGGGAGTCGAACCGCGACAGTGCAGGATGGGGCTTGACACGCTAACCACTCGGCTACACTGCCACGAGTACCCTTGAGTCACAGGGCATAAGTGAGTTTCATGGAGGGTCAGGCCTCTGCTATATCATATTCTTTTGGGAAAATTCTACTACCAGTCCTTCATCACTTTACACGAAATAGGGTGAATACATCTCATTAAGATGAAGCGGCAGTAGTACACTTTTGAAGCTGAAAGATTTAAAAATTCAATGTTTTTTAAAAGACTTAAGTTAGTGATTCATTATAGTAAGGTATACAAGCTGCTACACACAAAGAATCTGATCTAAAATGTTTTTAAATTCTTCTTGAATAAGATAGAACCAAGTGAATAAGATCCTAATTTTGGTATTTGAATTCAAACTCTATTTCTGAACGTTTGAATCGACTTCCTGATTGATTCGGATGAATTTAACGACTAGTTGAATAAATTGATAGAATACACCCATCTCAGATGCTTTGCCATATCGTTAGTCCTGGCCTAAATAACTTGTCCATCATCAATACTAGAGACAATTATTTTCCTATATTATATCAGAACTACTAAGGAAAGCATACTGTTTGTAGGATTAAAACATTTTACTCTGCAGGAAAATGAGTGAAGCATTTGCGAGAAAAACATGGAGGGGAAATGTAGTTTATTTATATCCTTTTAAAATTATATTTAAAGATGCATATTTGAGAAGGAGGAGCAAAATTAATTGCTTTAGATCACTTTTAAAAGGCTCGGTGTTGAATAGAGAGAGTATGTGAATTGGAAGGCACCCGGGGGTACGTAAGGAACAACTTGAAAAAGTGTTTCTTAATAATAATTAAAGTATATATATAATCATAAAACGACTTTATATCCCATCTTAAGTAAGCAAAAAAAAGATCACTTTTTACTAATATTGTTAGTAGCTAGTCTTAACAATTTAAACGATGAGCCCTTCGAGTTCCTCTAAATGTGCTTATTGCCTCAACTGCCTTACCTGCCCGTTCATCAAGTGTGCCGAGTGTCAAAATGTCGTTTTATGTGTTCAGGTAATGTTTAATATTTCCTGATTGTTTAGTGCTTCGGAAGCGGGGCAGAAGCTGGACGCCACAAAAGAATTCATAATTATGTTGTTAAGGTGATCAATTATTGTCTGCTTTATTTGTTAAGTACTCTTTTGGAGACCAAGAGTATACAAGGATATTTGGCACCTGGTCTTCTAATGAGGAATTAAGGTTACTAGATGCTATAGAACAATATGGTGTCGGAAATTGGTATTTTTTGTCTATCTGATAAGTAAATAGGGAAGATATAGCAGATAAAGTAGAAACAAGGTCTCCGGAAGAATGCATGGAGCATTACAAATTTTTCTACTTAGGAGGAAATCTTGGAAGTGAAATATTGGCCGATCTTAACCGTTCTCACCGTGTAACCGATCACACCTCTCAAAATTTGTCCTGCCTATCCCCATTACAATATCGTACTGCTACAATTGCTTATCTAGGCGCAGAAGAACAACAACTTTTGGGATATATGCCATTTAGAGATGATTTTGAACGAGTGAGACTTAATATTCTCACACTATTTAGGATTACGACAATGATGCTGAGAGTTTGCTTTGTCGAATTAATCCTATTTGTACGGACGATGATCTGGAGTCAGGCATGTTTAATGGCATTAATTAATTATATATATATTTTTTC